AATCGGTGCGCTTTAATTCTAAGTCCTTATTAGTTGTTGGTATTTATTATTTAAGTCTTAGAGCCACAACGTAGGACTCGTTGGTTGATGAACGAGCCTTCCGGTGTGGCGTGGCGGTGACGCTCCGATTTGAGCCAGCCGGGATGTTACAACTGGTGTTTCAAATGTCCCGGTTTCTCACACTGAGATTCCAGACATCAATGTTGTCCCTTCGGGTGAAGAGTTGGAAAATGTAGTCTCTGGGGAACCTGTCGAACAACTCCCTGTTGTGAGCCCAGAGATTAGAGAATCTGATGGTGGACCAAGCACTGAACCGACAGAGCAAGATAACGAGATGGATGATACTCTTCTTTTTACGAATTTGAGAAACATTCGAACTCGATCTAGGGGTTGTAAATGCCATCGTGCAACCTCCGATTCGGCGCCGGTGAGTCCTCTGTCCTATCTCTGGATGTAGTTGATGTTGTGGATGAGAATTTATTTACTGTTGAAGCCGTGAAGTATATGCATGATATATATGTTCACCGTGTGTTCATACCTGAGGTACGATTTGATGATTCTTAATATAAGGAACTTGTATTTGAGACCTATTTAAAGGATAAAAAGCTAACATTCTGGGCGAGGTCTCTTAGGGAATTTTGTCCTTCTCTGGTCCGTGAGTTGACTTGAGACAAAGTGCTGGTAGAATTCAGTGAGCAATTCCAGGTGTCGGGAGTCAAGTTATGGAGGATGATGGTGAGGCGAACTTGGACGATGGAGAGTCCGACAACTCTTTTGATTGATGTCTCCCGAAGGGGGAGATATATCATATATCAGGAGGAAAGATGGCATGACCTGAAGTAAGTTGTTTTTAAAGTATTGGTATATGGTGTTTATGTATGGGCTAATTATATTATGAACTTGGACTACCTTGGTATTTTGCATTTTGTATTTTGGTTTCGTTGTTTTTGTGATGTATGTGCGTTTTGAGGTGGTTAGGTTATGTGACATTGTAAAAATCTCATGTAAAATCTTTGTCCTTGGGTGGAAGACATCAACAAAAAAAGGGGAGATTGTTGTTATTGGTCGTTTGTTTGGATTTTGGTTGATGTCGGCAGCCAGTCTGGACAACATATGGACTTCAATTGAGGACTGGGCCTTCGTCATTTTAATTGAAGACTGGGTCTTCGTCATTTCAACCCAATTGTTTAGGAGGCCCATTTAGCCTGTGTCCCAGAAACGGATTGATGATGGTGAGTGTGGTCCAGGTGCTGAGGTGTCCTGCAAGTGAAACAAAAAGAATCTATTTGGTTTCAACAGATGAGTAAGTGAGAATTCGTAAGAGTTTGTTAGATTATGAAAATGTGTGGAAATGCGAGATAAGAAAGATAATAAAAAAAAAAGAGGGGGTGTGAGAAAAATCAAACATTGAGAATGAGGGGATTCGGGGATAGGTTGAGTACGGGAAATCGTCAAGAAATTGGTAGATAGATTTCTTGATTGTATACCTCAATTGTATCCACTTATCCTGTGCTTCAATGGTTTTAGTAATGAGTTTTGCCTGGGATGGAACCCCCCAGATGTAGGCTGGTGCAGCCAAACTAGGTTATCATTTCGTTGTGTTTCTATTGTTCTTAGTCACCAGTATGTCCATTCGCAGTTCGATCGTCCAACGAACAACCAGTCTGTGCTAAGGGATTTTTCTGTGTTGATTTTTTAAGTTTGTTGTTGTTGTGCGTAAGTTACTCGTTTTTCGGGGCCAACAGTGGAGAACTGAATGATCAGCATGCTGGTAAGAGCCTTATTAGACTTACGAATTGTTCGTCAATGGCCTTCAAAAGCTCTCTGACATTATTATGTTGATCGACAAATGCACGGATACCAGCAGATATCTTGGTCTGTATGAGCATCATGGAATGACGGTTAGATCTCTCCTACCGCTCATAGAGATCAACATCATCTGGCTCGCTGGTTTCAGTAATAATTGGTGGTGCATCTTTCCGAATAACATAATCAATGTCCATCTAGTCTAAATGAAGGAGAATTCTCTCATTCCAGATTTTTGTAATTATCACCAGTTAATTCGGGAATATCATACTTAATATCAGATAAATTCATAGGATTAAATGCTACAAAATTAAATGTACATGATCATCAATAAACGAGACAAATAAATTACATGTTCTAAAGTTTTTCTCAATTAGATTCAAACAAAACCTAACAATAAACTATCATATTGCGTTCCTTTTCTTAATTTCTATGGGTAGATTAAGAAATACAATTTGATATTTTATCCTAATTAATCATATAAATATATCAAGACTTATGTGGGTAGATCTCATCTCTTTGTACATGATAATTACAATTGATTTCTATTGACGTGATTTCAAATAAATTATAAATAAATTTTAATTAATCAAGGATGTTAAGGCTACTCCGAGTTAATTAAAATTTAAAATAAATCCTAAACATCATAAATATATAATCTGAAGTTCATATAAATAAATATATGCATGATCAACTCAGACCAGCATAGCAACATGCTTCAATTAAAATAAATAAATAAAAGGGTGCAAACATCTTCGAAGTAAAATATTCTGCACACCTCATGGCTTATGCTGCATACTTCACCAATAAATATAATTTTCACATAACATAATTAATTTAGTGAGTCAGAAGTATGTAGCAGTTGCTTTAGAATTAAATAAGTCATGCGATTAATTATCGTAAACGTGCTTCATTATAAATATTTAAACATGAAATTTGTATCACAAGTAATCCCATTTAAATCAAATAAATTAACGGAAACAAATACGATAATTAAACAAACCTCTAGTCATTGTTGTAATCAAATATGCGCTTCAAATCATATTCTTCAAGAAACCCCTAAGAAAACGTTAGAAAGGTGTTGTCAGACTTTGGTCTCAAGTAGCGATGGTGTATTCTAATTTATGAGAGTAGATCCAATTTCCACGGTTATGGCTATGGATATGAACATTTTATTCATATCCATATCTATATTTTTATCTATATCTATATATATATCCATATCCATATCCATATTCATATCTATGATTTAGTTAGTTAGGAAAAAATTACGGGTTGCCGCCGCCGCTAGTCCCAACAGCCGCCGCTAGTTCCATCAGCTGCCGCCTCCTATCAAATGCTAATTATACCGAAACCTTATTTTTCTTCTACTTCAATTTGAGTTATCTTTTCAATCAACCAACACAATAACCATAATCCATCTCCCAACAGACCGGCGACTCCAACAACGGTGAGAGAGCCGCCGTACGCCGCCACACGTGCCCTCATGCGCCGTCACCGGTGGACACCCATGTTCGGTTTTAGCCATTTTTTGAACTTTTTTCCGGTGGTTTTTTCAGACACGCGCCTCACCGGTGCGTTCCTCTCCTCAAAACGCGTCGGATAAAGTCGCTTTCCCCGCCGCCGTCGCGCGTGAGACACACACCTCCGCCGCCACGTGTCGTCAACTGTCCACCGAATTTTATCAGAGTTTTTTGTGCTATTTCTATTGCTGATCCATTTAAAATTCAAAATTTTCAAACTATTACTACCGATAAATTATGAAGTGTATCCAATTATAAGTCATGGGTTGCATCTCTACGACTTTGGTTTAAAGAACAAGGCCAATCTGACCATCTTACAAAGAAAGAGTCAGAAATTAAAGAACTTCGATCTAAATAGGCAAAAGTTGATGCCCAATTATGTGCCTTGTTATGGAGTTCTTTGGATACAACCATACTTCCCACATATCAGTCATTTGAGACATGCTATAAAGTTTGAGATAAGACTGCTTCCATTTACAGCAACGATATTCAGCTCTACTATGATATACTCTCCAGTCTCGTTTTACTTAAAGATCACATACTTGATCTTCCTACTTATGTGAGTAAACTAGAAGCTATTCGTCAGGAGTTTCGTTCCCTATTTCTACCAGTTCTGCAAATCCAAAGGTTGCTTCGAACAAATTTTTTGCCATATTAGCTCTTGTTTACCTTAAGCCTGAACTTGATCATGTTCGAGACCAGATACTGATGTTCTTGTTCACATATTACGACTCTCCTCTAGCAATAACACCCCTATGGCTATCCCATCTACTAATACTATAGTTCAACTTTGGTGTCTCAAAATCCTCGCTTCGATAATCGTGATAAAAATCGTGGTGGGCAAGGAAGTCAAGATCGCAATAGAAGACGTCAACAATGTAGTTATTGTCACAAGATGGGACATACACGAGATGGTTGCTTCATGTTACATGGACAACCCCCTTGCCGACAAATGTTGTTGCTATTGATTCCCCTGGAAATTTATCTGGCAGTATTACCTAACGTGAAGTAGATTATGCTGCACTCCTTCAATATCAAGCATCTAAGCATGGGTCCTAAATTTAGGTGCAACCGATAATGTGTTTGGTAATCCCTTTATTTTCTACCTTTCATCCATCAACTTAACTAACTCCATGTTTCCTTATTTGGATGCACCACTAATGACTTCAATCTGCAAGAATGGTTAAAGAAACAGAAAAGGAAAACTTAAAACTAGTTCAATACTCACCCATAAGTCCATAACAACCTTAAATATAATAAACACCAATTTTTTCATCATGCTAAACGCAGCAGCTCAAGACCACCAATGACTTTCAGTAATATGAACGTAAAAATACAATCCAACAACTCACTAAAGCCATAATGGCACAAAAGATTCACCCAATTCTCAAACTTGGGCTTCCAACAAAAGTACACTATGTATGAAAGGTTTCGATTCTAACACAGAAAACAATCTCTTACCTACTTCAAAGTTACATAGCTGCTATAAATCAAACAGAGTCTCATTCAACCTAAACATTTATTTTTCTTTTGGTTCATTTTATATTTTCTTTTTCTTTTTATCAGAAATTGAAAGGCATGAAAAATCATAAGTGGCCAATAAAACATCATGATTTAATGAGAAAATAAACTGGCTTCTTTATTGATTTGCAAGATAATTTTATACATTACCTCCCAAATCATGCTTGTAAAACATCCATTCATAACCATCATCATCCAGCAAAGAAAGCCATTCAAAGACAACCATCGATTTCTAAACCATAAAGAACACCAGCATACTCATCAGGTAGGCCACCTGCTTCGATGCTAAAATAGACTTCCCTGATCCTCTCAAATGCATGCCATGTCATAAGGCTATCAGACCCGGCCTGGTGGCACTTCCCCGCAGCACGGACCACACTAAGAGCCTGCGCCACCCTATCCAACCCGCCGTGCAGGCCCTCGCAGAATCTCATCAAATGTTTAACATCATATACGCGATGACCAAATATGACCCTCAGCAAGTTGAGAAACTCCGGAAGAGTAGATGGAAGGTCCTGACCGGTGATGGCTCTAATGAGATAGCTGAAGTCGTACCCACTGTGGAAAGTGATGTAAGTAACATTGTCGTTGCAGAGCAGACCGGAGGATATAAGGAGCTCGGCGAAGCGGTAAGTGGAGACGCCGTGGCGGATATTGGATTCGAAATTGATGCCCTGCTTGCTGAGAAGGTCGATTGAACTCGGTGCGTGATCATCGTGCATTACATCGAAATCTCTGAAATTGAATTCCCAAATGAAGCAGTAGTCGTTTAAGCCAATGTCGGGTAGGTTTCCAAAGGAGTCAGCAAGCGTGATCCCGACTTGGATGAGCTTGAGAGTGTCGGCGTTGGACTTGAGGGTTTGATAGTGGTCGGTGGGGTCGGTGTGGTGGTGGTGGTGACGGTAGACGATTCCAGGGAACTCGGTATCCATTGAGACAAAGTTGAAGCGGTCGATGAGGCGGCGGATGAGGGAGAACTCGAAGTCCAGGTTGCGCGACCATACGGACCGGATCACGACTTGCTTTTTTGAGGTTGGAGGAATGAATATGAGAGGCAGAGGAGGAGGATCGTCGGGTGCGGCGGGCATAGCGGCTGCTGATCCAGATTGGAAAGGGCGGCCGAGCAGATTTCGGCGGAACTCACTCCATCACTCACTCACTCGGATTGAGATTGAGCCTAGTTATAGTTATTGTTGAATTGAACTAAATTTTTTTTGGAAAAAATAAATTTTGGTTCAAATATAAAAAATTTATCAATTTTGGTCCCAATATAAACAATTTTTATCAATTTTGATCCCACTGTTAAAAAACTAATGGAAATTGCTGACGTGGATATGATGGAGATGATTTGGTAGTTGACCTGGACCATTTACAATTATACACGGTCATGTTGTTACATGGTCATGTATATTTATACATGGTTATGTTGTTACACGGTCATGTACAATTATACACGGTCATGTTATTACAGGGCCATGTATATTTCAGTGTATAATTATTCATGGTCATGTTGTTACACGGCCATGTACATTTATAAACGGCCATGTTGTTACATGACCATGTATATTTCAGTGTATAATTATACATGACCATGTTACTACACGGCTATGTATAATTCTACACTCTCGTGTATCTTTTTGTTTCGGTTTAAAATTTAAATTTTTTGTTATATTTTTAATTTTTTTTTTTTAATTTAGAATAGTTGATATAGTTAAATGGAAAATAATAATAATAATAATCATAATATAATTAAAATATATCAATTTTAGTTCAAATATAAGTATTTATCGACTATGTTCTTTTGGAAGATTTTGTCTAAAATTCTACTATTTAGTAAAAAAAATTTTCTTACAAACATCCATTTTAACTATATCAACTATTCTAAATAGTTATATTTAAACTAAAATTGATATATTTTAATTATATTATGATTATTATTATTATTATTTTCCATTTTAACTATATCAACTATTCTAAATTAAAAAAAAAATAAAATTTTAGACCGAAACAGAAAGATACACGGCCGTGTAGATTTATACATGGCCGTGTAACAACATGGTCATGTATAATTATACACTGAAATATATATGGTCATGTAACAACATGGACGTGTATAATTGTATATGGCTGTGTAACAACATGGCCATGTATAATTATACACTGAAATATACATGGCCCTGTAACAACATGGTCGTGTAACAACATGGTCATATATAATTATACACTGAAATATACATGGTCATGTAACAACATGGCCGTGTACTTTCCAGGTCAACTGCCACGTCACCTCCGTCATGTTCACGTCAGCAATTTCCGTTAGTTTTTTAACGGTGGGACCAAAATTGATAAAAATTGTTTATAATGAGCCAAAATTGATTGAAATTGTTTATATTGGGACCAAAATTGATGAGGTTTTTTATATTGGGACCAAAATTGATGAATTTTGGTTATATTGGGACCAAAATTGATGAATTTTTTATATTTGGACCAAAATTGATTTTTTCCCGAATTTTTTAGTTACATTTCGAATATAAATATTACTTTAAATTGCTCCAAATTCATATGTGATTTTACGAAATTATCCGTACTTTTAAAACGGTGTAAAATTATTTTATGGTTTTATAAACTCTGTCGTCTAACTCCTTCAATAGTCCTTATTTAACGATATTTGACATGGATAAGTCCAAACTAATAAATTTTAGAATCTCAATTTTTAAACTCCTAAAATTACAAATATATTTATTTTTCATATATTTAGCCTCGAAAAACAGTAAAAATAAACTCTTAGAAAAATAAACTATTTTGAATATATTTACTATTTTTTAAGGCTAAATATAAGAAAAATGAATATATTTGTAATTTTAGGAATTTAGAAATTGATATTCTAAAATTTATTCGCAGTTTGAGCGCATTCATATCAAATACCGTTAAATAAGGATTGCCGAAGTGGTTAGACGCAGAGTTTATGAAACCACGAGGTAGATTGACGCAATTTTAGATGTATAGGGGATTTGACGCAATTTCGTAAAACCACATGTAAGTTTTGTGCAATTTAGCTTAAATATTATATATTTAATATTTATTCGAGTTGGTTCCATTTAATTTTTTAATATTTTTTTAATTTAACATAATATATATTTATATTATTATATGTTGAAATTTATATTAATAATTATATTTGGTTTCGTTTTGATTCAGCCGTTCGGAATATTTGTTCAAATATTATAAATATTTTTGATTAATTTTATTACTTTTTTTTATATAAGTAGTATTGTTGGTAGTTTAAATATTTTTTTATACTACTTCCGTCCATCACCAATCTATTCGTTTATTTTTTGCATGTTAATATTTGAATATTAATTATTATATCATAACGTAGTACAAATCAAGGAAAAACGACAAAATTATTTATATTGGTGTCTTATAATACTAATGTAATGACATTTGTACAAAAAGTTATACAAATATAAAGATATTTTTAATGTTAAAAACAATGACGCCAAATACAAATGGATAGATTGGTGGTGGACGGAGGTAGTATTTTATTTAAATAAATTATACAATATGAATAATAAAATTTTATATGATTCAAAAAAATATATTTATTTGTTTATAACTAATTTAAAATTAATTTTATAAAAAATGAAGAATTTTAAATATAGATAAAAATATGGGTAAACTGATTTTTTTGTCTCATTATTAGACCACTCTATCATTTATGTCTCGTAACTGAAGTATATCGCAAACTAGTCCTATAAATAAAAAAATTTCGCACTTTACTCATCGGATGCCGGAGATGCCTATGTGGCCACCCACGTGGCTCGCCAAAGGACACGTGTCCGTCAGGGGTCACTCCACTCACTACAAGAAAATAACATTTTTGTAACAAAATTTTTTCGTCCCTAAATTCACATTTTTCGTTACTAATGACATTAGAGATAAAATTAGGGATGAAATTACATTAGTTACGTGAATTTTATGGACATAATTCCGTTACAAATATATTATTTTCTTGTAGTGACTAGGTCATCGACCCCTGGCAGACACGTGGATTTTTTTAGTTTTTTTATTATTTTTTTAAAAAAATAATTTATTTATTTTATCTTTTAAAAAAAAATTAAAAATTTAAAAAAAAATTAAGACAAAATTACTCATAATTTTCTTGTGGTTTCGAAATTCAGCGTAAATTCCCTTTACTTTAAAAATTATATGGTGCTTTCTTATATTTTCCAAATTATTGCATGAAACTCTTTTGTGGTTTCGAAATTCAGCATAAATCCCCATTTTATTTTAAAAATTGTATGGTCTCCCCTCATACTTAAAAAAAATATTGCATAAAACTCTGTCATACAAAAAATATAGATATGAAATAATCTATTAATCACATAAGGGAGGTTTCATGCAAGTGCAACATTTTTTAAAATATAAGGGGCGCCATGCAATTTTGAAGATATAAAGAGATTCTATGCTGCATTTCGAAACCACCGGAGAGTTATAAGCAATTTTACAAAAAATTAAAAAAAAAAATTTAAATTAAAAAAAAGAAATAAAATGAAAATCCATGTATTTGCTAGATGTTGTTGACTTGGCGGACACGTGTCCTCCGGCGAGCCACGCGAGTGCCACGTAGGCATCTCCGGCGCTGGAAGACTAAAATTGTATAAGTTTTCTACTTGCATGACTAGTTTGCAACATGCTCGAGTTATAGAACTAAAATGATAAAGGGGTTCAATTACAGAACTAAAAAAAATCAATTTACCCTTATTAAGCACAAAAAAATAAGGTTCGGGTTTGAGCCCATAAATGATGAATGGATGAGCCCAGTGACAATCCAGTAGAGGGCCAGAGTCATTTGGTCGGATGGTTGTTGGGGCCAGGCCGGTCGGACGGTTGCCCCTACGGATAGTTTTCATCCGAGTCTAGGCCTTGGGACGACTACAAAGGTTACCGACGTGGAAACGGTTTTGGTAGGATGGCTGGTCGGTTGGTCACAAAGGTTACCGACTAAGAAGCGGTTTCGGACGGTTCAGATCGGTAATCAACGATAAAGCGGTTTCGGACAGTTCAGATCGGTAACCCATGAGGAAGTAATTTTTTACAGTTACCAACGTGGAAACGGTTTTTTATAGTTACCGATGTGGAAACGGTTTTGGACGGTTTGGTTTGATACATATATAAGCAACCTTAGCGATTGAGATGGGCATCTTCAATCAGACAAACTTCTAAGAGAATCTCATTGGGATCATCATTTTAGTTTTCCAGTTATCTTTTTCAACTTTCCTTTTTCCTTTTTGTTTATCGCTTGAGAATTATTAGTTACAAGCTTTACTGTTCAAGTTTGAAATATATTTTTGAATTTTACTTTTTATTTGTTGAAATTTTACCATCAACAAATTGGGGACCACAGTGGGAGAAAGACGAAATTGCTGATCCTACGTCTAACAAAAATTTCATACAACTCCGCTCTGGTCGAGTCGTTGCAAGGAACTTCATTGCAGGTTCTCAATCTTAAGACCTCAGCACAGCCATCGGGGCCACCACGGAAACACCACCATTACTCACTACGGGGATCGTCTCCCAAATACCATCTGAATGGTTAAATCATGTTCAACAAACGAACAATCAGCAAATAGAAACCTTGCAGATAATGTTGCACGAACAACAAAACTTAATACAGAATATGCTTGATCAAGCCCTGTCGAGAGTTTCACTTAAGTCCGAGCCTTCACCTCCAGGAATGTCCCATTCTCGCTTTCAGGCAAACTTTGCAGGGCCGTCGTTTATGGATAGCACCATGCCAAGTGCTATAGCCCCTAGTAGGGTAGAGAGAGGGAAAACTCCCCTCACTTTTCCAAATACTATCTCTCTGGGGACTCGGCCTGAGCCGTTTCAACAGAGGGATGACCGACCTGAAGATCATCTTCATGATCCCATTCCAGTTCCAGATCATCATCCGATCGGATTGGACCCAAACAACGTCGCACAGGTTATCAATCGGCCCGCATACCAACGACTGTTCCCTGAGATGATCAGTAATGAACATCCTCTTCCCAGAACTTATCGACCACCCGAATTTCATGCATTCTCGGGAGAGGACGAGTCTTCTACTATTGAGCATATGAGACGCTTCACGGCCCAATTAGGGGAAGTTGGT